AAAAAATAGATTTTTCATATGTTTTACTATGTGATCGACAAAAATTACGTAGACTTTTGTCCAGTGAGTGTATATTAATATGTGGCATGACATTGACTAAGCGTCATCTCTTGTTAAGTGTCATTATTTTTATTTTTATCGTTAGACAGTTTACTTAAACAATTTGGTTTGTACTTAGCGCGTGTTAATACATTGTTATATTCACTATTATAGTAATTTAATGCTATGTCTGGTATAGTCATATAACACGTAGATTCCTAATTGTAACATAATTTTAATTTATTATAGATTTAATTTTGCGCAGCAGAGTTTACCCTTTTTTGGACTTTATAAGTAATACAACAAGTTATTTAGGAAACTGTAATAGTCAACCAAACACCGTCAGCCATGATTTACCACTACGAACTGCATTAGTATTAGGCGTGTCAAAAGTCGGGTTTTTCAACATCTGCAAGTTTAATCAACAAAATTACGCCATAGGAAAACCACTAGTTTGCATCTGATTTTTTCCCTCAACATTTCTTTCAATATATTCTTAACATTCAATATTCTACCTTTATTCTCAATAAATAAAGTTCAAAATAGTTGATATATTACGCGTACAAGACACGTTTTGGCTCTATGAAATCTTCTAGCATCCCGCTTATTAATTTCACATTCTTTTTTTTATTTCCTAACAATCATGTCATCTCTTCCCGGACCGACACCAATCCACTCAACGGGGACATTCAAACGCGTTTCGACGAGATTAACATAATTGCGTGCGTTGAGGGGAAGGTCATCAAATGATCGACATTCGGAAATGTCTTCTGACCAACCGGGGAGGGTCTCATATATTACGGTTACCTGCGAGAGCACACCCAAGTCAGCTGTTATACAAAAAAAGTGAACGTCAGTATTTTAAAAAATATATCAAGGAAGGAATCTTGCATCAGGTTTTCAACTCACCGGGAAAGCTCTCCAATGGAACTCCATCGACTTTATATTCAACAGCAATTTTAACTTCCTTCAATCCGCTCAATATGTCCAACTTTGTCAGGTTCAAGCTATTATATCCATTAATCATGGCTGAGTACTTCATCATAACCAAATCCAACCATCCACATCTTCTCTTTCTACCTGTTGTAACACCCCATTCCCTTCCAACTTGCTGAAGGTGCTCCCCAATCTTGTCGTCCAGTTCTGTAGGGAACGGCCCCCCGCCAACGCGGGTTGTATAGGCTTTTACAACACCTATAGTCTTCCCGATACTTTGCGGAGGAATGCCAAGACCAGTTAACACACCACCAACGGTTGTAGAGGATGAGGTAACAAAGGGATATGTGCCAAAATCGAGATCAAGCATCAATGCATTGGCTCCTTCAATAAGAATACGTTTCTGAGAAGCCAAGGCACGATGCATAAATGTCACAGTGTCGATAACATGGGGTTTTAGGCGTTCTGCAAAGTTCTGAAGCCAAGAGAACAAAGATTGAGAAACAGAACAAGTGAAAAACTGTATGTAAAACGCAAGATCTGTCTCAGGTGTAAATACAATTTCATATTTCGTTTTCTTACCTTGTATCGTTCAATTTCTTGATCTACATCATACGCAAAAAACCCGTACCTCTTCCTCCTATTTTCAACCAATGTCCTAAATTTTTTTGCAAAATCTTCACTATTAAACAAATGGTGCACTCGCAGGCCCGAACGCGATGCTTTATTTGAATAAGCAGGACCTATGCCTTTTTTCGTAGTTCCAATGGACGAGTTTCCCAGTTCGACTTCCTTCAAACCATCTACAATTTGATGAAAGTCGAAAACCAAGTGAGCGCGATCCGAGAGAAAGAGGCGGTCAGACACTTTGAGACCTGAATTTGGAAAGGACGACGGTGTAGCCAGATTAGCTTATAGTGAAACAATGCTCAAAAGATTTGACGAGTCGGTTGAACTTTGATCGAGGGAATGATAACTCGAAAGTCATAACCTTGTGATTCCAGCGCTTCAATTTCTTTAAAAAATGCTGGCAAATGCACGACTACGCCCGATCCGATAATTGATACGCACTTGGGGTTGGTCAATCCTAGGAATAATAAACCGTAAGTTTTCGTTAACGTAAAAGATCCAAATTACGAATAAATAATGATAAATTTATTTACCGGAAGGAAGCAAATGAAAGTGATACTTGTTTCCATTCACGACAATTGTATGTCCAGCATTATTGCCGCCCTGATTGCAGAAAACACGAGTATAAATATCTTGTTTGCACCGTTCTCCTTTGGGGATTGAATTTACAGTCTTTTACTTTTTTTTTTACAGACTCGCGCTCCCAGTTCTAAAACTGCATTCGAAACTGAAATTTTGTTTTTACAGCTTTCTATACAACTTATTTATATACTCGACTTGTTCTAAAATCAAAACAAAGAGTCAACTCCTCAGCCTCTATCTTTTCCCATAGTCAGGTACATACCGCAAACCTTGCGCAAATTTCAGCTTCCTGTGCAAGAATATCAACCAACTTTCCCTTTCCCTCATCTCCCCACTGAGCTCCCAATACAACAATAACGTTATGTTCAGAAAAGCCGCCTAAAGCAGCTCTTGGCGAGGTATTAGTAGTAGCTGTCATTCTAATCTATTACTTTGCAACGAGAATACGCTTTTGTGAAATAAACAAACACGATCAGGCTGGGGCTGTGCAAAATTTTTGTCAGATTTTTTGATAATCCAAACGCTTGAGATTAGATATAATTAATCATCAGTATCTAGTATCTATAAATTAGATGGTGCCACGAGATGTGGGTGATAAACACATTTTTGACCTTTCATTTTTTACTCTAGTTGAAGGACTATAGCCAAGTACCAATTTATACCGCCGAATTTGAGATTAATCATAATATGGTCGGTATAATCGGAAACGTTGCTGGATGGGCTGGATTCGGGTTTGCTGTTCGAGTTCTTGCTATGGCGCTAGAGAAGAGACCGTTGCTCGACAGTATGTACTGATGTTTATGTTCAGATAAACCTTCGTTTCTTTCGTAAGGCTAGTTGCATCATTCCTCTTCTATTCCGCAGTGTCACTTTTAGTCTTTATGCGTTGTATAGACTTGGTCATATCACCATTACATCATTGAACGAATATCCGAAGCTAAGACTTTTCTTCGAATCTATTTCGATGTCGATATTCTATTTTTAACTTTAACAAACAAGCATACTAACAAGCATACAAACAAGCATACAAACAAGCATGCAAACAAAACTAAACAAATTACTATTTTAATATCATGTTTACTCATTTTACCATATGATTCTCTTCGAATTCTTTGCCTTGGCGATATTCAGAGCCAATAACGCATCTAGCGACAGCAGCAGTCTTTGGCGGAGTTGGGTGGTACATTTATGAAGCTGAACACCGACAAGCAGAATTGATTCAAAAGCGAAAGCGAATTCTTCTCGAGAATCGGAAACGACGGGCAGAATTAGAGGCTTCTAGAAATGCAACAAGCGAATAACGTGACGGTGGAGAGTACATCCGCGGTGTCCCCGAGCACTTGTTCGATGGAAAAGTCGAATGTAAGGGAATTTTCAGAAACGATTGTGCTTATCAAAATAATGTCTAATACTAACCGGTATAATGATGATGTCTTTCCCTAAAATAATAGTAGCTATTATTACATTGTCATCTTCCATTTATACCAGTACTAGTCCTATTTCCATTTCACGTGATAATAACAATTGCGCTGATAGAGAAATGTTGTCTATATTATTATCATGGCGTTAAGTGTGTATCACACGCTACTCTGATAATAAAAAGGAGTCGGGGTAGGTTGTTACTCTGCCCGTCCAATTTATTCTTAACACCATAAAAAATGGCGGCTATACGTTGTACAAGTCCGTTATGCTTCATCCTCCTCTTTTCGGCTCTCATCTTCATTAATGCACAATTCGTCGATCAGGATTACGCGTCCTCTGTTCAATATGCTGCCAAAAAATTGCAAGCAAAGATAAAAACTATTGAAAATAAAATTAAAAATAAATTGGAGGATGTGATACTTAAGATGGAAGATATCGAGCATAATCTGCAAGAACAGTTGGATGATTTGGAATATAGTTTTGATATATTGACACATAACGAGTTTCCGGAGCATTCTATCCGAGTGAAGGCAGGATCGTTGTGTGATGAAAGTGTTAAGCAGGTAAGATATGTACATTTACATCTATATATATGCGCGCGCGGCCTATTCTATAATAGGCATGGTACTGTAACTTTACTGTCCACTATTTGCTCACTACTTTTACTCTTACCTTTTTTAGTACTCTGGTTATCTTGATGCCGGCAATAATAGACATTTCTTTTTCTGGTTCTTCGAGTCAAGAAGCAACCCCTCAACTGATCCAATTATCTTATGGGTATGTTATTACATCCAGTCGCTATAATGATTAGCTTTTTGTGTATCTCACAATATATGTATATACATTGTCAGCTAAATGGCGGCCCTGGATGCAGCTCTTTGACTGGGTTATTTTTTGAATTGGGTCCATGCACGATCAATGCTGAAGGAACTGACACAGTATTTAATCCTTATTCATGGAATAATAATGCTTCGATCATATTTTTAGATCAGGTAGAGCGAATATTCTCTCATGTGTTTCTATACCGTTTGGGTTTATGTTTAACGTTGACACTTTCCAATGCAAACACAGCCTGTGAACGTTGGATTTTCTTATGGTACTGGAGTAAATAATACAATGGCTGCAGCCCAGGACGTATTAGCGTTTCTCCAAATATTCTTCAGCAAATATCAACAATACAGCCAGTTAGACTTTCATATTGCTGGTGAATCGTAAGTCAGTCTACCGTGCATAAATGATCTAAACGTTACACTATAGAGCTTTATATCAACATGATTTGTTTTAATCACCTAGTTACGCAGGCCATTACATTCCGGCTATCGCATACGAAGTCCTCACTCACAACTATGCCGTTGCTGGTATCCGTTCCACACACGCCGCCAAATACAATATCAAGCCAAAAACCAGTATCTTCATCAACTTCAAGTCTGTTCTTATTGGCAATGGCCTCGTTAATCCTCTTGTTCAATACAAATATTACCCTGATATGGCCTGCAATTCATCGTACCCACCGGTGCTCGACGACGATACTTGTAATAAGATGAGATCAGCGTATCCCAAATGTGCCCAACTCATTGAGAAATGTTACAAATCACCGAGCGTGCCTAATTGTCTACCTGCTGGAGGTTACTGCGAGAAAGCGATGATGACTCCATTTCAGCGGACTAAAAAGAATGTCTACGATATTAGGAAAAAATGTGAAGGGGGCAGCAATCTATGTTATCCTTTCTTGAAATATATGGAGAAATATTTGAACCGGGAAGAAGTTAAACGCAAACTCGGTGTTAGGCCCGATCTCCGTTTTACGACCTGTAACAATCAAACTCGGACTAGTTTCATTAAGGCTGCTGATTGGTCAGTATAGCTATGCATAACTTTGTGGGCGTTTATCACCTTATACCATAATAGTTAAACTCGTTTTTTTGCACGTCATTAGGATGCGTCCATATCACCAACTAGTTCCCAAACTACTGGAAGCGAATCTTCGCGTCCTCGTTTATGCAGGTGACGCCGACTATATTTGCAATTGGATGGGCAATGAGGCATGGGTAAAGGCGATTGAATGGTCTGGTAGAACCGCATTCAACGCCGCCAAGGATAAAAAATGGATTACTGAAGACGTATCTAGGGTATGGGCTGGCAATGTCAGATGTGCAGGATTGTTAACTTGGCTTAGGGTCTTCGAGGCTGGTCATATGGTACCTCACGACCAACCTTCAAACAGTTTAGACTTCTTAAATCGTTGGATTCAGAACGGAAAGTTGTGTACATAACCTACAGCTTGTAACAAAATTTTTATTTACTCATTGCCCAGCTACTGCATAAACGTGGCAAAAAATATTAAAATAAAGATTTTATTTATTACATATTAATAATTTTACATGTTTTTACATTGATCTGATACAGTTAATTAAAATACTGTCTGAAATCCAGTCCTATTCTTCTGCCATATACTGCTCTAGTTCTCTGATCATTCATTTTTATACCAATAAGCTAAGTGTTAGTTGAGCATTATTATTTGATAAACCTGACACAAGCTTTTTTATGAGCAATGTTGAGCAGGTGTGTCTTAGAAACAGACTATTTGTAAACCAATCCGTATTGAAATTGTCATTCATGATATTGTTGTCAGCTTACAATGCAGACATCCATTGCTTGATGACCACTCACTCACTCACTCTCTCTTGAACTAACTGCTTCAACAGTTATCTGTAGCTGTCTATAAAGATCTTATATCACTTTCTTGAAGTTGATATTGTGGTGTTAGAAATAGAACATATTTCCTTTGCTGAATTAAACGCCTTTAACTGCAAACGTAATGGTGGTTTTCTGAGTTTCTTTTTTATTAAAGGATGTCATTGTAAAAGCATTTTATCAACAAAACAAAATAGACTTTTTTTTTGTTTACAGCTTAGACAAAACATTAACTTGAATTAACACTTGAAATATGCGAAAGTTAGACATCGTATATATACCGATTTATTGATTTTATAATATATTTGATGTCGCAAATAAACTCACGTTCTGTATCATTAAAAGTGTTACAACCATTCGTGTCCGCTCTTCACCCATGATTCCAAATATATAAGCCTGCATAACAAACTCACCCGTTGCTCCTCAACGCGCTTCTGTATCCCAACATCTTTTTCAATGGTGCCTCTGGCATAAATTACTCTTATCGGCTTTCGTACATCAACGTAACCATCATTTTGAAAGTGGTGCATAGACTCGTCCGTCTTCTATATTACTAGCATCGCTTTGCCAGTTTCGGATATCTTCATGACGGACGTCGCTAAACCCACTAACGACTACGCCGAAATACTCTCTATGGTAACGCTCAGAAGTGGTTTGGTTGCCGCGCCCTGATGTATCTATAAAATTAATGCGGTGATTGCCCCAGGCAAATGTATTGAGAGCTCGTCAATTATATTCTTTGTTTAATATCTCGGTAGTTTATTTCGTATTTTATAACACAACATATCCGTGAATAAGCACCCCTCGCTATGATAAGGGTGGGTGCTTATTCACGCTAGTATACGGTATTCGAATTTTTTTGTAAATAAAAAGCGTAATAATAAATTCATAAAATCTAAATCTAGTTACAGTGATGAAAAAAAAACAATTACGTTTAGCAAAATCTTATACAATAAACTTGCAGAGTAAATGGTTACAAAAATTTAGGTTGAAAGCATTGTTTATATTTTAAAAAAGGCTGATGCGTAAAATTGTTGTTTTTTTAGAATAAATTTTAAACTTAAAAATTTAGCAAGTGAACGAGTTATAACTTAAAAAACATGTTGCCGGAAAAGTTAATGTTCCAGCACTAAGTAAAACTATTTGCAATAACAAGCGTCACCTCATTTGCTTTGACAATGAAAAGCTTAACTTAACCGTGAAAATAATAAGGACTGTCATTATTGTTTCTGAAAATGTAAAGAAGTATTTTGCAAACACGAGAACGAGTTTTATTGTATTAATACAGTATATTAATATAGATTTCACTCGAAATCGATAAAGTACGAGGGCAAAATTTAACCTATTTGTGAATTTAATACCAAGACCGGTCCGTGACTGTTAAAGCCTCACCGTTAATTGATTGCAACTCGACGTGGATTGCGCCTCTAAAACAAATAATAACATAATTAAATACTACAGTAATGAGTATAACATTATCGAACAGAATTTACTACTTTCTGGCGTAACTACAATCAACCCCATAAATGCACACGTGCATTTAAGGAGGAATGCATCTAAGAAGAGTCAGCATTTTATTGATTTCCGTGCATTTAAAGAGCGGAATACAATTATATCGTTTCCACTCACGTGCTAATAATAATTATATATTATCTTTATTGTATGCATGCGTTAAATATGTCACACGCTACACCATCTATTTCGATAATAAAAGGAGTCTACGATATCTCCGCTAATCGGGAGTAGGTTTGATGCTCTACCCGTTTTCGCTGTCGTTCTTATCACCATAAAAAATGGCGGCTATACGTTGTACAAGTCTGTTACGCTTCATTCTCCTCCTTTCGGCTCTCATCTTCATTAATGCACAATTCGTCAACCAGGATTACGCGTCTTCCACTCAATATGCTATCAACAAATTACAAGCAAAGATAAATACTATTGAAAATAAACTTGAAAATAAATTGGAGGATTTGAGACTTGAGTTGGAAGATATTGATCATAGTCTGCAAGAACAGTTGGATGATTTGGAAAATAGTTTTGAGATACTGACACATGACGAGTTTCCTGAGTATTCTATCAGATTGAAGACAGAATCATTGTGTGATAAAAGTGTTAAGCAGGTAAGATATGCGCATTTACATGCATATTCTATAATAGGCATCGTACTGTACCTCTACTGTCGACT